TTTGGATGCTTTTTGGTCAAGCATTTCTCTGTGCAGCCAGAGATGCTGAGCACCTCCTGAGCCAAACGCCTGGTGCAGGCAGTAGCCTTGGGAAAGCGCCTATTGATGGGCCTTGAAACAGAGACAGGTTCTTGTTTTCAGGCTACTTTAGATAAGTTTGACCTTTCCCCATGATTGAATGACAAAAATCTATTACGACAAGCCCTCATCTTAAGATGTCTGCAGCATTTTCCCTCCTGTGTCTGTTTTACTTCCTCCCCCCACAGCTGAAGTTTTGCTGTCAGCTCTCTGACACAGGAGCCTTCCAGAGGCAGGCGCTGAGCTGATACAGAGACAATTAACTTCTAATGCTTTGCAGTTAGGTTTGCTTTGACCATCTGAGGTATGTTACAACTTGTTTAACCTACACTAGGATTTTACAGTATGTTATGTATTACTTAACATAAGCTGTGCAGAACAAAGCAGTGCTGACAGCACAGGCTGCTTCAGCCTGATTGTTGGGAGGACTGTGTTGGAGATGGTTTGGTTAAAAGGGATGTTGAGAATGCAGCTGGCTTCTCAACACTTGTTACCAACCACCCTCTTTTCGTGTTTGCTGCCTGCAGTCATGACATCTGTCCAGAGCATGGCAGGCAGCTCCCCTCCTTTATACCTCTAAAGTTTTAACAAAGAAGTTGCCAGCTTATGTTTTCACCCCTCAAGACAGGGTATGAAGGGTAGCATGTTTCAGGCTAACAGGAGCACAAGAGAAATGAAGCTTCTTCAGCACAAGCTTTCACACACATTAGCATCTAGATTAAAAGCCCTTTAGGAGCTCTAGGGACGTACATCAGTTGTTAGCATAGGCATAACCCGTATTTGCATGGCCATATCTGTGTCCTTGTGAGATCACAGCTTCCACATAGCATGTGACTGCTGCATGGAGTGGCTCTCTTGGCTTATCATGTGTACACTTCACTGTTTCAGAGGACAAAGAAGACCTTGAGTTCCCCTTGAAAATCCCAGGCTTTGTTCTTCTACCTTTCAGTGTATGCTCCACTCAGAGCTCAGCCAAAGCCATAAATGTACAAACAGAAGGTGGAGTTGGAGTTTCCTGTCCAGTCTACATCTGAGGATCTCACTGTCTTTAGGAGTTGTCCATTAACCTGGCTCACAGTGGAGCACTGATCTTAGTAGTCCTCTCCAGATTACTTGGTGTAGTGGCAGAGCAGAAGACTAGACTGCTGAGGTTGCAAAATGCCTTTATTTCACAGTTGAACTGCACAATAATGTTCAAAGCTATCCTCTGAACAAACAGCTACAAACCTGCCCTGTCTGAACCTGAATTCTTCTGGGTAGCACTGAGTCAGATTTGAGTTCATTTTGTTCATCATTTGTCTGGTGGACAAGTCAGCTGCTGTGAGCCCAGGCATGAGATGTGCCTTTGAGTCCTTGAAGCCTGCGGGTGTTTCCCCTCCACCTGTCCCTCTAGAGGACAACACTGCTTTTTCCTCTGAAGCTTATCGTGTCGGAAGTGGCATAACCCAGACCACATCAGTGTAAATCTGTCGGATTATATTGCCTACTTAAGGGCAAGAGTCCTTTGAAACAATGTTCTGACTGGATGGGGAAAAGCCAAGAGTACAAACAGATTATGTATCTTGTATTTCTCCCCTTGAAGGAAAGGAAGCCTAAGTGCCAATGAAACACACTGTACTGTAACACTGCACCTTAGGGAAAACTGTTTCCCTGACAGCTCTTTTGTGAATATCAATTTCTATTATTTGAGTGTCTTAGTATTCTAGGAGCTGTGCAATTGCAAATACTAACAAACTTCTCTATTACAGCAGCTCTTCCAGTGCAAGAGTAGGCATGTAGCCAGGAAAAGACACAGTTGTGAAGATGCTGTGTTCATGCTGCTGTTTGTTATTTGCTGGCTTAGGCAGATTTAGCATGAATACCACATGTGATGTGATGAGTCAGGTTGCATATAATACATGCAGGCATCTGACGCAATATTTATTTACTGTGGGCCACAGGGAAGGAGAGCTGATAAACACAGATAAATACACAGGTATTTTACATTATACTTAAACCAACTGCATGTACACGTGGTTTAGTTAAACACAAAATCAAACATCATTGCCGGATGTATTGCAATGTAATAGTAAAGAAGACTATTGTAATGAGGAATGGAATTGTAATGAGGAATATTTTTCAGTAACCTGTTCTTACCAGGAAGGTGGTGAACGCTTCATTTGACAGAGTGATTAATGATACTGGGCACAACTGCTCAGGCTGCAGGGGTGGAGGCTCCACTAATTGGATGTGGAAATTCCTTTCCTGGTGCTTAAGGATGATGAAAACTTTCACAGCCAAATGGAGATTTCTCCCTGCTCAAGTTCAGAATCATAGAATAGTTAGGGTTGGAAAGGATCTTAAGATCATCCAGTTCCAACCCCCTTGCCATGGGCAGGGACACCTCGCTCTAACCCATATCACCCAAGGCCTTGTCCAACCTCTACTTGAACACTGCCAGGGATGGAGCATTCACAACCTCCCTGGGCAACCCATTCCAGTGCCTCACCACCCTAACAGGAAAGAATTTCCCCCTTATATCCAATCTAAACTTCCCCTGTTTAAGTTTGAACCCGTTACCCCTTGTCCTATCACTACAGTCTCTCATGAAGAGTTCCTCCCCAGCATCCCTATAGGCCCCCTTCAGATACTGGAAGGCTGCTATGAGGTCTCCACGCAGCCTTCTCTTCTGCAGGCTGAACAGCCCCAACTTTCTCAGCCTGTCTTCATATGGGCGGTGCTCCAGTCCCTGATCGTCCTCATGGCCTCCTCTGGACTTGTTCCAACAGTTCCATGTCCTTTTTATGTTGAGGACACCAGAACTGCACACAATACTCCAGGTGAGGTCTCACAACAGCAGAATAAAGAAAATCTTGTATTAGGGGAAGAGACCTGAAGAAGAATTTGGGCTTAGTTAATTGTTTCTGCGTGGCATTATTAGAGGCATTGTAATATACCACAGGCTATAGTTAAGTGTTGGGAGCTGCTCATCTCACCACTTGTTTGTATTAATGGTTCTTTACAAAACCCAAACATGATTTGTAACCAGGTGTGTGTGAAAGCCATAAATACATCTGCATCTCTTATCCATTTCTTGCAAAATCCGATCAGGTGTGTCCCAAGCATTCCCATACTGGAAGACACAGCTAGCCAAATCTTCCACAGTGCCCAAAGCTACCAGTGACTAACATCTGGTGCTGGATACCTCCTTGTCAGTAGACATATCTTCAGGTGTTCCTATGTGTCCTGGGTTCAGCAGTAGCAGTCATTTTTCTCTTTCTTGGTAGCTGGTGCAGTGCTGTGCTTTGACTTTCAGCTGGGAACAGAGCTGATAAAAATGATGTTTTGGTTTGGCCAAGGACTTTGTGAGCCTCATGCTCTGCCAGGGAGGAGGGGAAGCCGGGAGGAAGCAGAGACAGGACACCTGACCCAAACTGACCAAAGAGGTATTCCATACCACAGCACGTCATGCCCACGGGGGAACTGGGAGTTACCCGGAAGGGCAGAGGGGACTGCAGGGTTGGAGGAGGCATCGATCGGTGCTTGGTCAGGCTGGGGGGGGCGAGGTATCGGTTGCCTGGTGATGAGGTGTTGTATTCCCTTCCCTTGTTATTTCCTTTATCATTACTATTACTGGTGGCAGCAGTAGTATTTGCGTTATACCTTAGTTACTAAACTGTTCTTATCTCAACCCATGGGAGTTGCATTCTTTCTGATTCTCCTCTCCGTCCCTCCAGGAGTAGGGGGAGGGCAAGGGGGGGGGGGGGGGAGTGAGTGAGTGCACAAGCTGTCTGGCTGGGGTTAAACCACGACACTATGTTATTTTATGCTTCAGCAGTTTTCTACGTGTTTAGGTTTTCAGCTTATTAATGGTGTTTGCTAATGTCATGTAACCTTTCTCAGCTGCTTGAAGTCCTCAGGAACTGAAAGATCATTATCAGCTTCCTCCGTACTTTGCCAGTTGCAGCCTGTGAGAAGCAGAATAGTTAAAGGCTTTCCTTCTTGCTTTGCTTCGCAAGTGTTCAGGTGTTAACACAAATTGAAATGGACATCGTTAATGAGATGTTAATAAGACTGTCCCTTTGGTGCTCCTTCTAAAATCAATTCTATAACAAGTTGGGTATCGCTTTATTGCAAATAGTTTAACTTTCCTTAAATCTGTTGGATCATCAACTGCCCTACCTGGTACCTGCCTGGCTCGCTTCCCCTCCCTAACAAATTTACCCACCATCTTGGCAATGAATTAGAGAAGCCTGGAGAATGAAGAGACTGGTACCCCTGTGCCAAAAGGTCAGCTCTGCCTGGGGAATGTGGCAGGGGTTTCAATGGGATTAGCAACGTATGTAGAGACGCATCTAATGCATAAACCAAACAGGAGCCCAGAAACTAGAGGTAGGGAGTAATAACTAACTAACTAACTAACTAACTAACTAACTAACTAAATACATAAATAAATAACTAAGGGAGAGATGGGAGATCTAAGCACTGCTTGGGAGGGAAGAGAGGGCTTGAAAAGCAACAGCCTAGCACAACCAAGTGGGAAACCCAATTGCTCTGGGACTTAGGGAAAGAACTCTCCTAGTCTCAAAATGGAAGAAAACAGCCTGAAACAGAGAGAGAAGGAGACAACCTAAGAGAGAAATGCCCATCAAGGAAAGGATGCCTTTAGGGAGGCTGTGCAGAACTTGGTGATGCTTTATTCTGTTATAAAGAAAATGAACTCCTGGTCACAGAGCAAAGTGACAGCCCCCTTGCACACAGCTCTCCTGGGGAGGTGAAGCAAGGAGCTTGCAGATCTCCTTCTGTGTGTTCTGTGCTCTACGTTCACAGCTCTACCCTGGGCATGCTGCGAGCCCTCCTCAGCAAACAGCTGCTCTTCCATGAGATTCTTTCCTCTCTTTGCAATGGAGAGAAATAAAATAATAAAAGCTGGAGAGGAATAAAAAGGGATTTTCCTCTCTCTACCATAGAGAAATAAAATGTCAGGCCTTTAGAAGGGGTTCTCCTGTCTTGGTTTTTGTTCCCAGTCTGGAGGCTTTTCTGTGAACAACTCAATGGAGAAAAACTTTTGCAGTGTCATATCTGCACATATGGAGAGGATGGAAAATAACAACTGACTGGAGCAATTGGAGCTCAGAGCCACAAGACCATCTGCATCAGGTCTCTTCTCTCTGAGTCATGGTACCGTCCATTTCGAAGCCTCCCTTTATGGCAGAGGCTCTCAAATCTGTATCTTCTTTCCCTGCTCCTTTAGAAGACTTTCCCAGTGATCTTGTTCTTTGCACAGGAGTGTCAGGCTGGCTCAGGTTCAGTGCAGTCAGTGCTGCTGGGCTGGCTGCCTGCTGGCACGCAGCGTGGTGAGGCTTCTGGGCATGTGATGTGTCCCAGGGTTACAAGGGGTAATGAAGTTCATGCTCCTGGTAGTATTCAGGTCTCCTCCCTCTGTTGTCATTGATGCCCTTTTCGTGCACATTCTGCCTTGTGTTGCCTATTGCTCTCCTGCTCCCATACCTGTCCCTCGCATCACGCTGCCCTGTGCCTGACCCTGTGTGCAAGAAGGATGCAAGTGCTTAGGAGTATTTCTAAATTCCCACTTAACATTTATTTCAGTTCACGGATTTTCCAGGGGAAGTCAGATTTTGGGGCTTTTTTCTTTTGTTTTGTTTTTAATTTTGGTTTTATTTATTAAAAAAGAAAAAAAAAAAAAAAAGGAAATTCCCCTCCAGCCTACAGAATGTAGCTATCAACAGAAGTAGCTTCATTTCTCTTTCTTAAAGCATTCAACACCTTTTGTGCTTAAAATCATAACCCAATAAAAGTCCAGCTTTTTTTATGTGATGGGTTTCAGTCTCTTCTATTGACAGTGCAGTGGGGTAGCTGTAGTGGAAGGTAGGCTCTGCTGGGAAAGGCACAAGGGAGAAAATAAAGCAGTGCATGCCATTTCATTTCTGCAATGTTCCGATGCCCTCCTACCAGCCTGAAAATGCAAAACGTGATCCTTTGTCTGGCATATGGGGATTTAGAGAATTGTTGGTAATTACAGCAGTTGTGCTATCCAGCTTAACTGGCTTAAATAACATATTAAGTGCTTTTATGATCTTCCACAACATGCTGGAATGCAAAGAGGTGTGTTTTCTTGCTGTTTGTACTTTCTGGCAGGCATAACTTATATAACATTAACCTGCAAAAACAAATTGTTTTTGCTGATTTATGGCTTGTATAATTCACAGCCAGGGCTCTGGCTGATAAGATCCTGTTGTGCTAGGTGCTAGGCAGACGCAGGGCATACATTTCTTACTCAGAAGGTGGAGTTTAATTGCAGGGGAAGAGGCTGTGGGATGGTGACACAGAATGATGGGGCCAAACCACCTGGGGTGCCAGGCAAGGGGTCTTGGGACACCATTGGTCAAAGCATGGCTGAGCTCATGATGGCAAAGGCAAAAAGTGTGGGATCTGGAAGAGGCTCACAGGAAGCAATGATTTAACTTATTTAGGGAACATTCCCACTATTTCAATGAAAATTTCATGTGGAATTAGGAATGGTTTACTAAGCATCATATCTAGAAGTGGGAGTATTGTAAGGTCTGGATTAGTGCTTATCCAGAAAAAAAAAAGGCAGGGATTAGTCTTCTCAAGAATCTTTTTTCTAGCCCGCTTCCTATTTTTTTATTTAGCAAAAATTCTGTTAGTCGTCTGATTCCACCCAAATTCCAGTGTCTCTTGCCTCAAAATCTCAATCTTCTATTAGCTGCTATTATACCTAATGTTTAAAGAAAATGTGAGAAGAACATGCTGTGAATGTCTTGTTGCTGAACCTAGTGTGAGGAATAATTATGGAGCCAGAGGCTCAAAGAACCTGGTAAGACACATGGGGGGGTGTGGGGTGTGTGAGGGCATAAGTCACAAGGGGAATTAATGATAATGCTAAAAAGATAGGCACATTCTGACCTATAATTTGGTTTACTTTGACACAGCTTCCTGTGAAATCACAAGGACTGTTAGAATATGCTGGTAGTTAGCCGGATTTCTCCTATTTGAAAGTAAAGCATTGTGCAGGCTCTGCAGATTAGGGGGGGGGGGAAATGTACTTTTTTTTGTCTGGTTTTGCTTCCTAGTAGCTTGAAAATAGGGAGGTGAGAAACTTGTGTTAAATCCTGAAGTATAATTTTGCAATTAAAAGGCTGAGGAGAAAGTGTGATCTGAAGACCTTCAGTTTCCTAGCTGTGACATTAAATTAACAGCTATCTTCATTCTCATTCCATTTTAATATTCCCGCAGAGAAGCAAGCCAAAAACTCCCTGGGCTGGCTTCAGTTAAATGGAGGCACTGTTACTTACCCTGTTATTGTCACTAGGCTGGGAGGAGAGTGATTTTTGTTGGTATTAGCAGGCTAATGTTTGCACAATGCTTTGGATGCTATAAAGTGATATATAGCTAACGCTGAAAATTGAGAGACGCTCTCTGGGAGATAGAAAACATTGTTTAAAGTCATTTTTCTGATTGGCTTACACAGAAAATTTCAAGGTCATACATGTACCAGCTTGCAGGGCTGCACAGCTGGTACCTCATCACTAAAACCATCAGAATCTCAACTAGAAGGCTGTTAGTTAACTGTGTGATACAAATAGAGGGATAAATTGAAACTGGAAGTGGAAAAAACAGTGGGGAAGTGGTAAGAGAAAGAGAAATGAGTGGAGAAACTCTTGTCCATCATTGAAGTGTCCAAGTATTTGATAAGAACCTCAGATTGCTCCCTTCCTTTAATGAACCAATCTTCTTTTTCAAGCTGCAATGATTTGGGAATGTCCAGTTACCCTGAACTTTACCTTTATTGCTAAGAACCTGCTCAAGAATCTACTCAATATTCCAGGCCTAATTTTTAGTGGAGTAGCTGAAATGAGCTGCTAGGCCAAAAGCTCTTCTAGGAGTAGCTGGGCTTCTAACCAAAGGGAGGGTGAGTGCCAAAGGCTTTCATGGATCATTTAGCAGTGTGTTCTACATAATAAAACCACATAATAAAACCACATGAAGATACTTAATATAGTAGGCAAAATTTTGACCAACCCCTGATCTACCTTGCTGTGTGGGTACAATCAACACACAAAAATGGCAAGGCAAGACATTGAAGAAGCTATTTGTCCAGCAGTGATATGTCATGTTTGGTTTTGAGAGTCCACTGTAACACATCAACAGACAGTGCGTGTTCAGCTGAAATGACAGCTAAACAGTCTGGTCATCTGCATCCTGTTGTGGCTCACTGCTGTATGGAGGGGGATGAGGTGTAATGCAGAGCTGTGAGCAGATGGCAAGCCACTGGACTGTTTTTGTTGCCTTGGTGGCTTGATCAGCAGTTCTTCATTGGCTCTGGCCAGATTACAGGCATGATGCTATCTTAGATAATACCACTTGGTAAAGAACTTTAAAATCCTTAATTACTATCATTAGCCATTTGGCACCACAGAATAGAAGTCTGTTATTTTCATGTCTTCTATTTGTTACGCCTGTGTCTGCAGGGTGTCTGGAGTGTCCTTAACTCAAACAGGGAGGTGTAACTTTTGGATCACGATCAGAGGTAGTGCGTGCATACCAGCATAAAAATGTGTGCATGTGCATACACATTTATTTATGCAGTTGTCCAAAGTTCTTTCACTGTCTGTGTCATGAAAGCACTGAACTGAGACATCAGTCTGTTGGCAAGGTCATGTAGGCTGGCAGGTCTCTCTAGCTGGGGATGTCCCTTGTTTGTTCAGTGTTTGAATCATGTGAAACCTTAATTAGCAAATAAGATGCATTGGCCTTCCCTTCCACAATCTGAAACCGCATTAAGGGAAGTGCAAGGATGTGCCAAATGACATGACATTACTGGCTCCATGGTTTTTGTTTTACTCTGCTGCCCTGCTGTTTTGAGATGTGCTTTCCATTGTATCAACTGCTGGCGAAACATTCATGAAGTTGTTACATGTCTTATGCTTTGGTATTGCTGTTTCTATGTACAACAATCAAACTGCTGAGATGTTGGAGACCCTGTGTGCAGCAGCTGTTGAGCTGAGAAGAAAGAAGCCCTTTCTTTGAAAGGAAAAGCTGCCCTGTTGTGCCACAGTGGTAAGCCACTGCCTGCTGTGGCCCCAGTTTGCTGCTGTGCTCTGGGGGTGATGCAAGCATCCTTTTTCTACAATGTGATTTGGACCTTCTGAAACGGGGTAAACATTAGTCACTCATTTCATTTGATCTTTTGTTATTTAATTATTCGCACTTCCTCTTGTCACAACACTTGTATTTTTTGCTGCTGAGGATGGAACTGCAGAGGCATCTTTCCTTCCATTCCAATGACACAGTGGTTTTCTGCCTACAAGAGAGTACGGAATAGCTTTTATCAAACATTATTCTTTCCCATTGTTTCCTGATGACAGATGCTACTCTTAATCTGCACAGATACAACACTTTGAGGTGGGAGATCTACGCTCCCATCAATTTGTGTTACGTTGATAAATCATAGCATGTCTCACTTTCTGACTGACATGCTTCTGGATTGAGGTCTGCCTTTTTATTTTGTCACAGATTCTCTTTTCCAATGTTAACAACAGCCTTGCAAAAGCTGCTCTCTTCCTCCAGTGTTCACTCCAGCAGACTGATTCTGTCACACTTTTCCCTCTATATGGCATAATCAAACAGGTCGTTAGGAAATCAGGAAGGATGTGATATTTATAAAGATTTCTAATGCATTCCACTCACCTTGTGACTTCCATTAGCTGTGGCACCTTGTTACTTCTTGGTTGGAAGAACACCAGCAAAGTCTGCCAGGCTAAAAAAAAAGGGTGTTTTTGCTGTTCTCTGTGGGCCTCAAGTGTGATTATGTCACACTTCCACACACAGGGAAGCTTTACTTAAGAGAACATCAAGAGTGGAGGGTGCCTTATGGTGTTTTCTTCTGTGGGTTTCAAAGGCAACTGCAGTAGAAGTGGAGGACTGCTTACCCACAAATCTTAAAATAGCTAAGAATGCGTGTGACGTGCCTCATTTTCCTTGGTTGTGTAGATAACACTATTAATAACATAAGCTGAAATCATGTATTGAGTAGTAATTTGAGCAGCGATTCTGAGTGGCTTTAAACCTGTCATAAACTCCCTGAAGAAAACCATCCGCTCAGCAAAAATATTAATTCACTGTCATCTAAAGGGTTGGTAAAATTAAACAGAGGTAGTCCACAGCTCAGAACCTGTGGGATGCTTCTACCTGCTGTCTGTCTCAGTCCATAGGACTGGGCACTCCTGTCCAAACCTCTCTTCCCGTATCTGCCACAACCTGATATACAGGTATGGTGTTTGCCAGACGTGGGTGTGCATCGCAGGTCTCCTGTCACTGCTGCCTGCGTGCCAGTAGTTGTCACCTCCAAGCTGTACTGCCACTAGAGTTCAGCCCTTTGGGGCAGGGGGAGGGACATACTGCTCCCTCCTGCTTCCCCACCCTGCTTACATGGTATTGACTCATCAGGAGGGAGGGAGGTATGAAGCGTCATCTAATGCTGCTGGGAAGTGGCAGGGGCTGACAGCCAGCCAGGGGTATACAGCGTGGCTGTTAGGGTGTCAGTGCGGCTGGGGAAGGGCGCCTGCTTGAACCAGTCATGAGAGTGCTGGGAAGTGGGGATCTGTAGGGCAGGTGTGAAAAGAGAAGTGCCCTCAGACTGAAAATAAGGGTGAAAAGTCCAAACCATCTCACTCTGAGAGTGCCCTGGCGACACCACACCACAGCCCTGGTGAGCACTGCATTCGCTAACATGTCCCTTGAATGGGTGGGATGATAACTGGGTTTGCAGAAATCCCTTTTGAATAACTGTGGCTAAAAAAAAAAACAAACCACCACAAAAATGCCTAAAAATAGGGTGGGGTTCCTAAGAAAGTTTTACTGTTAAGATAGCATTAAGACTCCAGTTTCTTATCTGCTTCTGGTAGTTACAAATGGGCTTATTTGTAACTGAATTCTGTATGTATTACATCTGTTTTGTTTTGGGTTTTGTTTTAAATCTTTAACCATAACAGCCATAGCCTTTTCCCCTGCAGTGTTTTGCTACAAAGTTCATGCTAACAATAGCATAGTTCTGTTGTTCTTTGAGGAAACCTTTTGTATCTTCCCCTCTCCCTCTAATAACACCTGAATTAGACTGGCAGAGAATGATTCGAGGTATTTTTCTCATTCATCAGCTCACTATAATTAGAAAGATACGAAACCATTTTGCTATGAACACTGCAGGCCTGCAGTGACCAAATACCCTGAACTGCACCTTCAATCTCCCACCTTCTGCTTTTTTCAAATGTTTGGAGGTGTGCTCTGCTGTGCTCCATTCAGCACTGTCTGGGCAGCAAGGAGGAGTGAAGTTGCCTCATGTTTGTACAGCGCCTGGCACAGTGTGTCTCAAATCCTCCCTGGTGAGGAGAAATGCAAATTACAGATGATAATCAGTTCTTACAGTCCTGTACCAAGCCTCCTGGACTGAGAGGTGAAGATAGCTCTCTCAGTTGTGTCTGTGCTGGAGATCAGGGATACACATTTCAAAAGCACTTCTGTGTCTTAAAAGAACAAATCCTAGTGTAGTGAGTAGGACTTGTCTGGCCAGAATCCATTACGTGTGATAATAAATTCTGCTCTTATGTTTCTGCTCTGTGACCATTTCAGAAGACAAAAGTTCTCTACATGCTTGCAGAGTGGGACCATCATTATTTTGTTCAGGTTTGGGATTTTGCCTTAAAAAACCCAAGAGAACAAAAAAAATGATCAAGTTTAAATGCCTGGAGTGGACTTCCCTTCCCTGCCTCCAGTTACTTGGAGCAGCCCAGGACAGAAAAGGGTTTCTTAAATAGAGGGTGGACTGAAGTGCTGACCTTTGACATGTAACACATTTAAGCCCTAAATGACTGTTTGAGTTTTTACATGCTCACGTAGTCACAGGTTTTATTTGGATGGCTAGAAGCTCACTTGCTGGAATAATAAACCCCCAGAACTCCTTTACTGGGTTCCTGATACATAAATTCCTAAGCATGTTTTAGCAGATTTCTCCTTTTTGTAAATAATCCCTAATAATAATATGAAGCTACTTTACAAAAATATTACAACTAAGTAATAATTATAGGGAAATACTCATGAGATATGGAGAGTCAGAGAATCTTTAGTGTTATGGGCATGTTCTGTGGAAGCACAAAATTTGAGACCCCTTCAGCTTATTTGACCTTGGCCTTTGACATGAGTTTTCCTCTTATTCTACCGATTCCGCATTCCCTTGCGCTATTTTGTATTGTTTCTTGGGCCATCACGGCAGTTTCAGCTTTAGTTTTAGCTCTCTGGATGCTTTTTCATCTTTGTGCTGAAAACCCCTTCAGCACTACTTCCTAATCTTGTTTTAAGTAAGTACTAATATTAAAGAGTAGCCTCATGGGTTTTGGTTTGTTTTTTTTAATATCATACTCAGCACAAAGACTGCCACTATTCTGGAGAAGAGAGTGCAGCATTTACATAGAATAGCATCATATATTTATATATTCTGAAGTAGTTTGCAAAAATCAACTGATCCTTAAAAAATTAATGATATCCTGGGGCAGGATACAGATACTGGGGAAAGAGAGGCAGAGATTTAGAGAAAAATAACAGAGTAGGGCCCATAACTTGCATTTTTGGCTTTTGTTTTTAGTGACTTTTAAATCAGGAAATCCTAGGAACTTACACTGCTTTCTGAAGAATTGTTTTTGATTGCCACATTGCTGCAAGCCTCCTGCAGCTTCTGTGCAGCAGTAAATGTCTGTTTTTCTCCAGATACTTGACAAGGATGCAAAGACACTTAACGATATTTGCTAAGTGCTTATGAATTAATTTGTGATTAGTGATTAATTAAGTAAATACCAGCAATCAAAAGGGCACGTGGCCAGTTAGATTTGCATATAGAGCACTCTTCTGCCAGAAGACGCTAGCTCCATTCATCTAATACAAGTCTAAATTCACTGTATCTTAATTTGATTTACCTTTGACATAACATTTAAATAGCAGCAACATCTATTATCTTATGCTCCCCAACAAGGCTTCATTAAAAACTTACTGCCAGATCTAATCCACGGTTAGCATATAAAGTCTTATCTCTAGGTTCCTGCTTCAATGCCTTTGAGAACATGCTTAATTTAATCTGAACAAAGACATTGCCATCATAAGACTCCAGTCTGATTTTCCAATCTAGAATATCTGTGTTATTAAATTTGGTGCAAGCCATGGTACATACAATGGACCAAGTAAATTATTTTAAAGCACTCTTCAAACAAAATTCTACTGCTTGTTAGACATCATTTGTATCTCTGGGACATAAGAGAGATGTCACTTTAGTTTGGTTTTTTTTAAATGTCACAAAAATGCAGTGTAAGTCTAAACAACTTAGCTGTGAAAAGCAGCACACTTGAATGTAATACATATTTTTAACCAGTTTGGGAAGAGTGTGGTTTTTAAAATATGAAGTGTTAACCATCATTATTAACCATCATTCCAATCCATTTTCCTTCCTCTAGATGAGCTCTTCACTAGAGAATTCTGCTTCCTCATTTGCATCAAATACCAAGTCAGCCATTTGTGACTATACTTGAAGCTGGTGGCAGGATCTGACTTGCACTTATAGTTTTAGGCATTAATTTTTTTAATGATTCAGCAAGTGAACCAGTTGTCCTTAAAGCCCCTGTTCTGCTTAATAATCTCCAGTGAACGGTTCTGTGTGCTGCAAGTAGACGTTCTGTCAAGACAAAACCGATAAAAATGGAATGTTTTACGAAGCACTGGTGAGGCCTTGTGAAAATGGAATAAAAGTCTTGAAATAGTGATGTCAAAGCAGCACAGACGGAATCTGATAAGAACTGGTGGGATGATGTACTTCAGAGGGGGGCAATTACAGCTTAATTTGTTGAGGGGTTATCTTTTTTTTTAAGCTGAAAAGAAGTAGAATTGGTTCTGTAAATATACAGAAAGGGGTGTTGGTAATTCATCCATGTTGCAATACGGAATTGAATGGATGCATGACAGCAGCTAAACCGCAGTGGCTGTGACAGCACTGGATGGGAATTGTTGTCCCAGCAGGTTCCTTTGCTCCTGTTGTCTCTGGATGAAACAGGCCTGGGAGTGTTATGGCGGTTTTACAGTGAGCCTTGCTACTTTGCTGTTGCTCTTTAATAACATAACTTACTGAAAGTAAGAGGCTTGAGGGAGGTGAGGCAAGGATAAGTAGTCATGGAGAAATCAGTGTGAAAACGAGAAGAAATTGGTGTGAAGCTGTCTTACAACACCATGGTGTTTGCTTCCTGCTCTAGTTGCTTTCTGTAACTGCTCTGACAGTTTGGGTGTGTGACTGCATCCCAGTGCAGCCTATCCCAAGCAGAACAGGACTCTCCATGTATCGTTATCTCTGTAATTCAGAGGAGCCAAAACGATTACCACTAGACATAATGTGGCACATCAATACCACCACAGTGAAGTTGGGGATTAAACCATGTCTCCTCAGCTGCAAATTAATACTTAAAAAAAGGCATCTATCACAAATGGAGCATGGCACAAGCAATGCTATCATTAGGGGTTGGAATACTTAATTGAATCACAAGATAAAACTGACTTCTCCAGCTGTTTCTAATACTGACAACTTACGCTTTTGACTGATACTGCCAGTTCTGTTAAATTCATTCAAATACTTTGAAGAGTTTACATTGTATCGAAAGCTGCTTGGGGGAGGGACTACATGGAGAAGAGGTATGCAAAGGTAGCAAAGGTAGTACAGGAGTAAGAGGATATAAGGGAACTTAAATTCTCTTTAAGACATAAATATGTAACAAGTGGCTGGTGGGTAAAGGATGTTTCCAACATTTCAAACAATGTAAACTTTAGGAGCTTCATTCATTTGTAGCATCTTTGCAGTCGAGTAGTGTTGCATGAGGAGAAATGTGGCCTTCAAGCTAAGCCTCTCTGTATGCCGCATTCCTGGCTTTGCATATCAGCGATGAAATTTGTTTGGAATGTTTGCTATAAAAATACCTATGTGCAAACTTACATCAGTGAGAAAGTAACTTGGGCCTGACCTTCCTCCAGCTCTAAGATCATTCAGCACGGAAACCAGAACTTAGGGAATGACTTGCAACTGGTATTTTCATAGGCTTTGTTTCTGTGCAGGAACTAACCTTGGAACGAGCTGCCCTTAGGAATCAGTGTTTTCTTTCAAACTCCTTATTTTCTGCTCGGGAGTGACCCAGGGTATGTCACCAGGCTTAATGTAACGAAGCCAGTTGAGAAACCCTCTCACTGCATGTGGACTGAATACTAAAAGCAAATATGCTTCAAAACAGCAGAGGACAGGGGTATTTTTGATCCTTTTACAGTTCAGTTCGTGTTTCTGTTTCAGAAAAGCCATTTTTAGTGGGACAGGAACTCCCTACTGTCACCTCCCTGCTGTTACCCCGCGCTTAACAGTACTTCTCCTTAGGGCACTGCCCGAGGTGAGCCGCGGTCCCATGTGAGGTACGGAACAAGCTAAGGCCCGAAGCACAGCCAGAGACCCGCGACCCTCGCTCTGCTCAGACCGGCCCTTTCCCCGGTGCGTTTGCGCGCACCTAGGAAGCGGTGCCGGCTTCACAAGTGCCAAATCGTGAAGTGGGGAGCGCTCTTCCCCACAGGCCCTCCCGCTCTGTACCGTGTGCGGCACGGCCCTCAGACAGGGCCCGAGATGCCAGCCCGGCTGCGCAGCCCCAGCCGGCCTCTTCCGCACCCGCTGCCCGTTACTGGGCCAAATGGCGGCCCCGGGATGCCCACAGACCCCCGTTGAGATCAACGGCCAGTCCCCGGGTCCCCGCAGACCCTCCCGCTCCGCTGCCGCCCGCCGCCACCTTTGGCGGGCCGCTAGGGGGAGGCGGGCGCCGCCGCGTCACGTGACGCGGGCGCTGCCCTGTGGCGGGAGGGGAGGGAGCGAGAGACGCGCGCGGTGTCCGTCAGGAGGTGCCAAGGGAGGGGAAGCCATAACAGCCCTCCCCCGTCACGTGACACGGCGGGCGGGCGGGCAGGCAGGCAGACTCCTCCTCACGTGACCCGCCATGGAGGAGGCGGTGGCGGCGGGGAGGGCGCGCGGCCACCTCCTCTCGCCGGCCCGCCCCGCCCCCCCCCGCCCGCGCCCTGCGCTCCCGAGTCGGTAGCGGCGCAGCCCGGGTCCGCGGCGCCGAGCGGCCGGCGGGGAGGCCATGGACTGAGCGGCACCATGGGCGCCAAGGAGTCCCGCATCGGCTTCCTCAGCTACGACGAGGCTCTCCGGAGGGGTAAGGGGGGGTGGTGGGGTGTGTGTGTGTGTGTGTGCGCGCGCGGGGGGGGATGCGCGCAGCGAGCCGCGGTGGGGCGGGGAGGCGGCCTCCCTCTGCCCCTGTCAGCGGGCGGCGTGAGGTGGCTCCTGGCACCACCATGACGGACCCGGCGCGGAGGCACTTGCGCCGTTCCTCTGCCTCAGGCTCCTTCCCCGCCCCCTTCCTCCCCTCCCCTTATTTATTTATTTATCTCCCCTGCCTCAACCGTGGGGCCTAGGCAGCACTCGCGGGCAGGATCTTCCCTTCCCGGCCGCCTACACGCCGTGACAGCGCTCGGCGGTGCCTTCCCGCAGCCGGCCCGGGAGGGAAGGGACGGGCGGACGGAGGGAGGGAAGCAGGCAGGCAGGCAGGCGACGGGCCGAGGCACCCGGCGGGCGCTGGTACCTCAGACCCTCCAGCCGCTTCGCAGCCCTCGGCCCTGCCGTCGCCCGCCGCTTGCCGGCTCTCCCGGCTCCCCTGGAAAACGGCGTCGGGAAATCCTGCTATCCCGGTGTGCCGGGACGTGCCTCGCTGCTCCTCGCCGCGCTCCTGTCACCTCACGGCTCTCCCTTACCTGCCGGCACCTCATGTTTACCTCCTGCTGCCCGCGATAGGGAGCACGCATCCGGCATCTCAGGGCTGGAAGATGGATGTAGCTTGAGTGGTTTATTTTGTATGTTGCCGGTTTAGTCCGTTTCTAGCTGCCTCATGGAGAATTTAAAGAGGAACTAGTGAAGGGGAAACAAACAAGCGGAATGCCTGCAGCTGCAGGGCTCCAAGGCGACAGGCAAGCTAAACCCCATCAGCTACCTTGCCTAGAACGGATATCCAAGTCCAAGGACAAAGAGGGGCAGTAATTTTCAGCAGTAAAGGGATCGCGGGGAGGATAGGGGTTTATTTTAATAGTTGTTGCTCAATTGTGCATTGGTGTGATGTAGTACAGTTAAAGCAGTTCACCTGTTTGATATTTAAAGCATTGATAACATTTGCGAACCTCAAACGAGTACATGGCTGCCCTTTTTATGTCTACTTAAATCTGAGAAGCATGCAGAGATTGATAAGGGAAGTGTAAGGAGATCCTGAGTGTTCATTGAAGGAGAAGCAAACAAATGTGAAATGGAATTTAAAATCTTTTTAAATTAAATCTTTTATTTTTTTTAATGGAGAATTCTCTGAGGGATGCCCTGGAAATGGAGTAATTCTCTGAGGGATGCCATAGGAAATGGAGTAACGTACTGTCGAGCAGGAAAAACAAATGTGAGATGCAAATTCCGTTTCTTTGGAGATGTTAACAGCCTTGAAGAATTTCCCTTCTAGTGAAAGTATAGAAAGTCTTTAAAAGCACTGGTGTATGTATTTTTTAGAGGAACTGGAGCTATAAATGTAGCTTGGTAGAGGTATGAAGTTGAAGTTAACAAGAAGTGTTTGAAATAAGGTCTGTGGTGAAAAAATACCTTCATTTGGTCAAGATGTATACTGCAAAGGTCATAAATAAGAAAAATCAAATGTTTTGAATTTTATAGTTAGATTTAAACTCTCATTCTGCCTCCATCTGGATGTTTCATTATGAAAAGTTTACTTGACATGAAAATAATGCTGTGGGTTTTTTTTTAAAGTTATAAGGTTGATTTTTAAAAAGTTGCTTAAAATTATTCCACAGTGAATGGAATATTTTTCTTTGATGTTATTCTATCCGTATGAGGCATTTAATACTGTTTTTCTGTAGGAGAACAGAAAGGTTGTTTTAGGCTCTCTAATATAAATTGATGTTTTGCTAAATAACTATGTTGTTTACTTATCCAGTGAATCACTGTATGTATAAAATGGGCTAGTTATCTAAACATTATTTGTTAGGCCATTCTTACTTGCACAGAACCATGCTGGTACTTGTGGTGTTAGAGTGGACACAAACAGCCTTGGTGGATAAACATAAACATTTTTCAAGGCCAGGTTGGATGAGGCCTTGGGTGATATGGTTTAGAGCGAGGTGTCCCTGCCCATGGCAGGGGGGTTGGAACTTGATGATGTTAAGGTCGTTTCCAACCTTAACTATTCTATGATTCTATGATTAACAAAAGAAAGCTAAATATCCTTCTGTCCAGTTAGATCCCCCTTCTGTAACGTTGTGTCCTGGCCGTTAAATGCTCAGAAAGCTTTATGTGAGGTCATGTTGTACAAATTCTTCGACTGAATTCCTCACATGTAATCAGTAGTGATTAACTGGACCTGTAGAGTTGTGCGCATTCAGAGTGTTGTGGTCATATTTTTGAGTTTTGCTGATTTTAAATTCAGTTGTTCGGAATGCCTGGAAGAATGCAGTATAAGTGCTGCTAGTTCTGTAAGCTTCAGAAAACAAGGCTGACTTTTAAGCTGTGAATGGCTGCTGTTTGATTTATTGCAATTCCATTTTGGGAGTAACCAAAGGTTGTGAAGGTGAGGAGGGTTTTTGTGGTTAAATGCTCACAATATAAATAACCATAGCTAAAATATAACTTCTGTTCAAGGAGATGAAAACATGAGAGCAGTCTTGTGTTAATGGCCTTTTTCACCCTTGAGCATGAGATAGTAGTGCAGTTACATATATTTTTTTGCTCCTTGTTGGCACAGACAGCTGACTGCACTGGGGATGACGTGGCAGTGTGCATGGGTATGATGAAGTTGTCTTGTGTCCACCAGTGGAGATCACACCGAGTCTTGTCAGTCTCCCTTTTTCCTTATGTTCTGTAAAATCTGTGTCCACTTGCATAGTTCAGGAGTGAAAAGTAAGGGATGCTATTTTAGACATCTCTGGTTATGAACACTGCCAGGTTATAGTCATCTTACTTACAGTAGCCAGAGGCACTACTTTGCCTGTTGCTGTAGAAAAGGCATGGGTTCTGAACTGGTGAGAGCTCTTCCTAAGCGTTTAGACCTCCTCCTGAGGAAGACTTCTTTGTAAGGAGGTGAAATTAATGGCCAGGTCATTATAGGTCAAGTAAAAGAAGGGCTTCATTCCAAAAGGGGCATGAGATTATTGGTTATTTTATCAAGCTTAAGTCTGTGATGGCATAAACTGGAAATGTGGCTCTTGAGCATGTTGCTTTTTTTTCTAAGCCCTCAGCTCCAGCAGCAGTTGTTTCCTAAGGCAGTTCCTCAGGTCAGGCAGACTTTCCTTTTTGGTTTGGTGCCTTTTCCAACATGTGTCTCCGATTTGAGTCCTCATTCTTTCTGAGAGCTGCTCAGTGTTAGGCCTTGCCTTACACCAAGGAGGTAGCAGTCTAAAGTCTGCCTTATCTTTCGCTTGTTCTGCTGCCAGCGTTGACACCCCATTCCTTAAAGAGCTATGTTTAGGCCAATAAAACTTTATAAAAGGAAGAACTTGCTGTTACTGTTGTATTAGCTCCAGCACAACAGCTGCTGAGCTGTGTTGTGTACTGAGTATTTCAATAAGGATTCCCTAGGAAAGAGATGGCTGTGTGGTGTTGATGGCCAATCTATTCCACACCCCAAAAGGACTGCATTGTTCAGTGACTGTTAATGTGTGAAGGAACTTTCAGAATATAATCACAGACAGTGTAAATTTATGAAGTACTTGTAAATTAGGAGATTATAGAATCTATAGTCAGAGTTTTTATGATTGCTATGTAAACCAGATCACGTTAATTCACACCATTTTCAGTTTATGTATGCTAAATATTTAGTCAGGTAACTGCTTAAAAAGAAATGTCAGTGAATAATCATAGATCTGTCAGATTTGCACCAGAGAGGATGGTGAGGTTGAGAACTGCCACAGTGTTAGTGTGCTCAGTGAGTATACTGTTTGGAGAAATGAGTGGCTGCAGATAGATCCATTTCACTGTCTTTTGTGTGCAGTGATCTCAGAGAAAAAGAGCAAAAAGAAAGAGCAAAAACAGTGCCATCTTTTAAAAATGTACATTCAATTAAAGACTGACTAATACTGAG